GCAAAACAGATGATTTTTAGGACACAGGAAGAGTTGCAAAGCAGAGCTAGACTGGAAATCAGGTTACAGTACTGGCTATAGTGTCAGAACATTGGGATGATGGGGACACAGCACATACAGCAGGCAGGAGGTATCACTGACTCGCTGGCCACGCATTGTGTAGAGGCATAACCAAACTAGGCTTAATGGAAGAGAAAGCCCTGCAAAGCACAGTCATTCTTGGTTCCCATGTCTGCAAAGATGCTCTGGGATTTGAAGAAGTCATGGACTGTCTTGGCTATCTAATAACAATTCTACTGAAATCATCAACTCAGATGAATAAGCACATTTTAATATGCCAAACAGAAGACCTTCTTACTGCTACAGACAGCCATATAAAAAGGCCTAAACATGAGCACTCATTTAGAGACTGTATTCATAATCGTTCTGAAACAGTGGGTTCAGCCAGTGCTGTGCCCTTAGCAGTACGGCACGCTTTCTTCACAGCACCCCTGCATCTCACACGTAGCGAGAGGTGGTACCTGGAAGAAAATGTAAGATGCTATTGTTTTCCTCCTCTGACTCCCTGCAGAAGGGACAGGTAAAAGACAGGAAACGCCTTAAAGCAAATACACGTTTAACTTTCTCTTCTATTTCTTTTTTTCCATCAGTGAAAAACATACAGAAACGTTCAAAGTCTAAGAGTTCAGACCAGGTTATTGTTATTCTCCCCTGCCCCTACGAGAAGGTTAAATGCAGTCACCAAACTCTGCATACCACCCTCAGTCACGAAGAACCCTCTGGCACAGCTCCCAGACCAGTAAAAAATGACCATTTCAGTCCCCAAAGCACGGAGCCTGATCCATTTAAGCAAAACAAGTTCTACTGACAGCTGGTTTTCTTAGCATATTCACGTCCACGTATTTATCAGAGAAAAGTCCTCCAGGACAACAGTGTTTATTGCAGGATTATTTCTGTGAATCCAGGGAACACAGCATTCACCGAGCAAGTGTGTTTCTAACCTTGTATCTTTTTTTCTTAAAATATGAACCGTGACGAACCCATTTTTCTTTTCTTTAGCATGGACATCTCATGAAGGAAAAAAAATACATACATTAAATTATTTAAAAAAAAATAAACCAACCCACACTTCTGATCCACATTAATGTGTAGTATGATGACATACATTTTAAGTATTAATATAGAAATTAGCTGTTCAACCTCACACTGACTTCTTGGATTGAGAGTTTAGTGACTTTTAATAAATGGAAACTAAAGATATGATGGATATTTTTATTACAAATTCCCTTTCCATATGAATATCTAGTATACTTTAACTAGAAGGATAACTTTGAGGAAGCAAGATGTTTTCGACCAACAGGTTGAGACACGTTACGAATAGTGCATGGAAACGCGACAGAGACACAAAGGTAACTACCCCAGCAACTCCTCCTCGTGCGGAGGAGTGCAGAAGCAGCCTTGGAATCCACCCGTGCCTACCTGGCAGCAGGAGGAGGTCAGGTGGATGAGCCAGTGTGGGGCCTCAGGTACTGACACTGCCCAGCTCTCTGACCCGCTTTCCAAAGCACAGCAGCCACCAGCAGGGGATGAAGAGCATCCTGCACCCAGGCCCCCGCCCCGAGACAGGAGGAGCAGCAGGACGAGCTGGGGACACGCACTCACGGATGCTGACAAGCACCATCCTCTCAAGTTGGGTGGGCAGTCTGTGGGGTTGCCTAGCTTACCACTTCCTCCAGAAGTGGGCAAAACCATGTTTTTTATGATACTACAGTTATGATGGTAATATTTTTTTAAACAGAACGCATATCATAAATACTCCATGTTGCATTTTAACTTAATCTAATTTTTGAAACATTAAAAGCAACCGTTCCTGGCATCTATCTGCTTATTCACGCAGTGCAATAAAGAATAAGAAGAATTCTTAAAATTATGAAAAAATGAAAGCTTTTTTAAGTGATTGATTTCAAATTAAGGAAACATTAGCTAGAAATCGCTGTTAAGGTGTTTTGAACAATTAGTATTTAAAGGAATGGTTTTAAATTAGCAAGTTTCAACGAAAGAATTAAAGCAGGTATAGTTAAGAATAGTACTGAGACTTTTACAAACTAACACGAATGCTTCCTCTCCCTAAGTGTGAGGTTGTTTTTTTACTGTAAGAACTGGACTTGACACTCTTGCAGCCAAGCGCCACACCGTGCAAGTCAATGGAACACTGATGTTGACTCAAATGAGCCACAATACTTCTTTACTGCATTTTTACCCCCTGCTTTAATATATGAACTTTTTCAAGCCAATCAATGTCTTAGCTCCAATCCGTAAAAACTGGACACTTCCCTCGCTTTGCAAAACTCTTCCAGAGTCTATGACAAAGAGCAGTCAAAGTCTTACTAGTATTATGTTTACCATCCATCTAAAAATAGAGCATATGTGCTTTACAATAACCCTTCAAAGCAAAAACACTAGATTCATATTGCTAGGGCTCAAATTCGCTGACGAGATCTGTGGGTATACGCCTTTTTAGAAAATGCAATGTGGGAATGCATGTTTATATGGGAGAGCAGAAAAGCAATGAAACCTCTTGGGAACGCAGGAGATAACTCACGTTACACAAACAGGCCCTTTGCTCTTATTTCTCTACAAAACTGAAACATTTACATCTGAAAATGTTTTTTCTACGTCAGGAAAATGCTATTCCTGTTTGCTTGTTCTTCCTAAGGTGAACAGAGTTTAGCATTAACAAAATAATTGTGGGAATTTGGTATTTTTCCTGTTTTGTTGAGTTCTTGGGAATGTTATGTTGGGAACTGTCAACTACTACTTACTCCACCTCAAAATCTGCTGCATAAAAAAAATACACTCGTAATTTGCTTACATGGCTTTTGTACATGCAATTACTGTTAGCAGCAGGAAAGAACTTTTATAAGCAGAACACAATTCAAATGTAACATGCCATGGCCTCAAGTCATTAAACTAATCCTCAGGGCTTCTTGAGGCTTTTTGTACTTTTGGCAAAAAGTATAAAGAAGTACACATTGTTGTTTCAGTTCCCAAACATTGGAAAGTTAAATATCTAGACCGTCAGCCCCTGCTAAAGAGAGCAGAGATGGGTATTTGAAAAGAACAAGAGACAACTGTATCTTTGTTATTAAAGCGCTATCGAACAAACAATGAAAATATACCCATATGTTTTTTCATGGCATATAAAAATCATCCACTAGAATAAAGGAAGCTGCCACAGCTCACAAGCAACTCTGGTATTATGAGTTACCAGTGTCTAGATACTGTGACGAATACCTTACAAATGCATGAGGACAGATTGAGCTCGATGAGTGAAATATCTCAACTTTGATACACAGATAACAAGGCGTGGCATGGAACTCCAGGGTTTACTGGCATGATTTTAACATGACTACATAAGCTATAAATGATGAAGCCATAAATACATCAGACATGTCAGATGGGTACTAACACCACTCCAAGAGATTTCTGCTATGTTGCTCTACATCACACATCTAAAATCAGATATCGTTCAGGGCACTGACAGAAAATGCGATACTTTTAGGAAGACTAAGTGTTCCTTTGTATTGCTATTCTGCTTGGTATCAAGAAGTTAACAACTTTCTAAAGATACTGTTGAAAGTGGGGAAAATAAGCAATGTATTCATTAGCACATGGGCCATTTAGACAGGCATACCTGGGTGGCCTGAAATACACTTAAGAATCAACATGCGACTAGAGCTGAAAACATAATGGAAACTAGTGACAGCCCATTTGCTTTTAACAGCAGCTGAGCAGAAGAAACCTTTGAAACATGGAAGGATAATCACATGTTTGACTACAATTATTCCCTCACTTAATGTTGACAAAAAGTAATGAATTGATAAAAACCACGAAAACATTAAAGCTGCTAAATATATATATTGTGTATGTGTCTGCACATGCATGTGTAACCTACATTTTCTTAAACGAAATAGCTGAGAAGTCTTATGCCTTTATCTAAATCAAATCTTGGTTTTTGTATTTTAAATTGCATCCAATGGTTTTTCCAGACCAATGCCCTGTTGAGCAAAATGTTAAGATACCATGTTCCTTCACTCACACAAACTTTATCACCGAGTTGTTATAAAACTATGGTAGTCAGTATTTCCCATCTTTCTTCTCTACCCAGAAGCATCATCACCAGTTGAGAAGAAAGTCACTGCAGTATCAACCAGAAAAACAAAGCATCACTGAAACAACGCTAGACCAGTTTGACTGTTATATACCTGAACAGTTTAATGCAGTTACTCTTCTGAAGCAGACATGACAAGACTGAGATACTGCAGGGAAGTAGGAGCATTAAGACATTCTTAATTCCAGGAATGCCAGAAGAGAAATTTAATGAAACCAGACTGATTTCTAACCCTCACCTTTCCATTTTAGGTGTAGAAATTCGTTTCTCAGCAGAACTGTTTGCCAACTGGTAAACAGATCAGTAAGGTTCATCAATCTCTAAACGAAATATTCAGATATTCTCCTGAAAAAAGTAACTTACTAAAGCTGCAAATTCCTAAAACACAGTTAATAAAGCTTCTACAACAATACTTTATTCAAATGTATTATGTTTATACAGAGAACTTACCTTCCCAAAAGAAAAAGAAAATATTCCTCCATAAAAAAAAAAGCTATCAATATGCTGTGCTGTAGGAGGCAATCAAAATTGGAAACAGGAAAACACAGCATGGTTTCCACGGATTATGATGCTACAAGAACATCACATGCAGTCAAGTGATGGCTCTTCACCCATATATGGTCCAGCCATTGATACAGAACTAGCCAAAAGATCAGTCATTTCTCCACCACAAACACACATGCAGTAACCACTATGACTTTAAGCAATTTAAATAAACAGCATGTTATCACCTTGCCAACGTTTCTCACATATATCAGGAAAAAACTGAAAAATCCCGAGATGAAGCAGAATGAACACTCTAGGGGAAAAAAAAAAACGTCTCACTCACTGTTCAATACGCGGGGAGAGGTACAGCTTAGGAAAAACCTGAGTAGCTTCTGCATCCTCAAAACTAACGGACAGAAGTGCAACATCTTCTCCAGGATCTTCATTCACATCCTGTACATAAAAATTAATAAATAGAAAATTGCAAATAACAAGCCGAATACTTATAAGCTTACAGATAACAACTAATAAGTCAAATATCAATTAATTTGGGAGACGCTTAAGTGAGGAATCTAAAGTGTTACCATTGAAAAATACGTTGCAAATTTATTCTGTCTTACTATATTAGTACTTAAAGATATTCTGCGATGCTTATTTTCCTTTAAAGTATCAAAATTACTGTGCTAGCAAGTGTACAGTAGCACAGCTCTTCTTCAATTCGCTGAACTACATATTTCAGTAAAGATGCAGATCTCATTTTTAAGAATTCTTGGTTTAACAGTAACATCAGATGAAAATGCCAAAGAACTTTTTAAAATGAGTTATGACTACAGATTTTGTATTGATTATTTTTCAAAGTAGTATATGATCCACAATTTCTGCTGTACTCAACTCCTACTTCTCTTATGGATGAAAAACATTTTTCGCGATTGGAAATTTGCATCTAGAAGTCATTGTCCCCCGGTTTCCTGCAAATTAAACCCATGCATCACTTTCAGCAAGGACTGCATCCTCTATAACAACTACTGTAAGAATAAAAAAAAAAAATCCATGCTAAATACCATGACAGTCAAGGCATTCACAGTTGAGGCCTTCTTGGTATCAGAACAATCAGTTACTGTTTTGGGATCAGCTAGAACAAATTGTTTCTGGTTAGGACCTGACATCTCTCCAATTCATAAATCACATACAGTATGAACAAGTGTATTTCTGCTACACACAACTCCATTTAAGCTCTTGACCTCTAGTTAGACAGCAATGAGTTAGGAGCGCGGTCACCTTCATGGACAGCAAGTAATACAGTGCCACTTGCCGCTCACAGAGAAGTCCTTTAACACGTTTGTGCATATGTACATAGCAACCTGCCACGATGCGTTTGTTTTTATCCGTTTTGGAAAAATACAAGAGGAAATAGATAACCCAGCAGATACGAGCTCAAAGCAGGATTGACATGGTGCAGTGTGCCCTGGTATGCTCTGTCCCACAAGCAGCTGTGAGGAAGGAACATGCAAACCACTTCAACATTGTTAGGAGACCCTGCCTAGTTGAGGACAAAAAAAAGAAAAGAAGTGACTGCTGAGTGGTTTCAGGAAGACAATCTCATGCCATTTGAAGCTTTGGCAGGACTGAAACTGTTAATGTCCAGAGAGACTAGCTGCATACCAGATATTACGTGCAGAACACAACATGCCAAGAAACTTAGTGATAAGCTGCAGGGAAGAATGGGTCTTAAAAAAGCCTAATTGTCTTAGATGAAAAATGAGACAGAGCGGACTGTTTTCTTAAATTCTGCCTTGGTGTACAGCTCACTTCTGACAGCTGAAAGAAAAACTGCGCTCTTCGAAAAGCCTGTGAAACGGTCACAAGCACACTATGGCTGGAAATCACAACACGGTTTTAACCTGAAGTTGCAGCACAACACTCCGTATGAGTGGTGAGGACAAAAACTAGCTGCTGTGCTGTCGGGGGATTATATGGATGGGATTAGATGACATGGTTGTTCGTAACAGCAACGGACAGGATCTCGTGACACGCAATGTTCCCTTCAGTGCTACGTTTCCAAGTGGTACCGTCATCCACAGTAGAAAAACCAGCACAGATTTAAAAACCTTCTTCCCCAAGACAAGCAACAACAAAAAACACCCAAGAGTGCAATCCCCCCCCCAGCCTTCTCCCCAGTATTTCATGTATTTCCGTCATCAAAGAAAATACTTAAATAAGGAACAGCTTTCACTCCTGAAGCGGAGTACGGCATTAACTGGCTTTTCCCCATTAATCTGCTAATTGTCAATCAAATGAAAAGAACTATTACGGCAGATTAAGCAGTAATGGTAATGATTAAAAAGATTTTATTTTAATGGACGTTCTTCAAGAGACAACAAGCACATATAATATTCACTCATGTACGTATACAATTCTTCTGAGACCATATTCTTTTGTTTGTAATAATTTTCAAATAATTTGTTTATACAGAATAGAACCTACATGCATTTTACAAGCCACAGGGACAAAACCAAGCTTGCATTTAGTACTAGTGCTTAAGTTGTTGTGTACTCATAGATAAGACACCATGCATAAGACCAGTTTCTAGAATACCATCCAGCTGCTTACTGACCAAAGAAAATCAAAGCAAGGAGAAAAAAAATAAAAACCCACCCCAAAACAGAGTAGGTGAACACCACTTCAGCATGCATTAACCCATAGAGTAATATTAAATTATATTTTCTAAACTCACTAGTGGCTTCTTTAATATGAAGACATATATATATAATATAAAGATATCACAGTATCTTTGCATGTTAAGCTGCAATAAGCTGATGTGTGTAGTAAGAGCAATAAACTGAGACGTGATTTTTTTTTCATTTACAAAAATAACACAGAACAAACACTACTGCAGCTACTGTTGCCAGCACAGCACTGCGCTATGTTCATACAGCTACTGTCCAATGCAAATTTGAGTAAAGAAACCGGCATTCTTCTGTAACTACCACTTTTCAAATGGATGCATATTTTCAGCCCTGATAAATGAAGATTGTAACTTTAAAAAGACCCAAACCCCCAGCATTCCTGTAGGTTTTAAAAGATGCAGTAGGGTAACATCACGAAGCTGCTCCACCTTATTGCTCAGGTGGCCGCAGACACACAGATTTATGACAAAGTCCCTTCTATCCAATACCACACTTTATTCCTTTCAGACTTTATTACTTTTATTTATGCAAGAATCTGCTTGGTAGAACTGCATTCAACCCTAGTATGTCTGTACAACCGCTGTTTACAAAACTAAACCGAAACCACATGTCTTGCAGATAAACTGTGGAAAGCTTTTCAACTAATAGACCTTTTTGATGTCGTCTGTGCCAGTCACAACTTAACTCCTTCAGTGATCTCTCTCCTGGTCACGTCTACAAACCTGTCAGCGACTAGGTGAGATGACGGATCCTTGTATTACCAGGCAATGACATTTCCTCAGCGCGAGGACCGAGATCCTTCCATTACACCAAAGCGTATGAAGGCAAAGCTTGTTTTAACGCTTCCCAGGCAGTGTCTTCCCCTCTCCCATTTCTGCATGTGTATTTGTCTCAAAGAACAGGCCAGATTTAAACAGAGCAGCAAAGCAAAAAATGACCTCTATTTTTATTTTTCAGCTGGTTTCAAAAGGGAGAGGGATATCCAATTGCTCTAGCAATATTATTCCTGTTTAGGAAAAAAGAGACTGTTGAACTAAAGTCACAACATATTTTTAAGTTAGCCATGTTTCTTCTCATAATTCGTGTTCAACTCACAACATAATGTTAGAGAATTCTATGAAAAACTTTAATTTCATATTTAAGAAAAACTGATTTCGTAAAAATTAAGAACAGCTATTTTCTATGAACATTAGCATCCAAGGTTAGAACTGCCATGTCAGAGTACTCACAGAAATTTTTCCACACAAGACCCTACAGAAGGTATTAGTAAAATGAACTTCCACTGAATGGAGAACACATCCTGGGCCACAGGAATATTGAGGTTTGAAAACTGAACATTTGTAAAAACGTCTGCAATCGTTAGTTAAGCATGTGACAACGCACACCTAGAAGTTTTTCCATAAGTCTCATGTATAATAGTTAAAAAAACCAAACCTCTAGCGCACTGCAATGTAAAAGTTCCAACATAAATTTCCATGGTGTCTTTCTGCCATCTCACTATCACATATTTCTTTTTAAAAAAATAATCTTTTCCTCATTTCAGAAAATGTCCATTCAAATCAAACATGAAAAAAAAAAATGGATACACCATATAACACTGAAAAGAGATAGTCTCCTTTCTCAAGAACTGCAAGGGGTTTCCTGTGTTCACAGAATACTTTGCACAGTGTGGACTGATCCTTGACTAAACCTCCAAAGTGCTGTGGAAATGCAAAATATACACAGGAAAGCAATGCGGCGAGAAAGGAACAAAATAAAAAGAAAACTGAAGACTGTCAACCCATAGGCTCTTTTCTATTGCAGAGACCTTCTAGCAACAACTTACAAAAATAAATAAAACTTCTCACAAAGAAAAGCATAAAGGGAAAGCTCATGGTGTTTTGTTCTAGTTCACCCTTTGTCTACTCAGGCAATGCAGATGAAAGGTTCATTAAATACGTATTTTTGAAACTCAAGAACAAGAGGCCATGTGAAAAGACAAATGTAGCACAGAAGAGATGAAAATGGAAGTTTGAAGGCACTTAGAAATTTTTTCCCCCCAAAAAAAACCTTCAGGAATCACAAGATTACCAAGTAGAACTTAAAATCCTACTTCTAATTGTATCAGCACTGTTTAAACAACCACTTGGTAGTTTTCATTCGTATCAATCTAAATTTACATTCGAATACATGCTTCAATGTTTACAGCTGCTCCCTTTGCAAGATAATCTTTTTACAAAGTTAGTACGAGTTGTTTATGAAAATTATCATCAAAACCACTTTAAATACACCATCCAAACGGCATTGTTTTCTCATATCCTACCTACTGTAATTGAAAACTGGGAATTTACTGGAACTGACAATTTATTATGAGTCAGATGGTTGATAGCCAGTCCAACCAAAACATCTGCTCCACACAGTCACAACTGCTATAACCCATTTCCTCTTGTGCCTGGAGTCCAACCAATTTGTGCATTACAGTTCCTTTTCCTTAAAGATGCAGACTCTGGAAAATCAGTTATTGCCCTCTCTTCGTTATCAACAAAGAATTGCCTTGCAACCTCTGATTAGAGTATTCTTTCAAGAGGAGGTATTTCTGTATTTGGCATGAAAGTGTGATTGATTCCCTGCACCAAACAGCAATGCCTAAAGCGATAAGCAACTGCAGGCTTGTGCTAGGCAGTGACAGCCTCTGACTTTCCACGGAGGACTTTAGAGGCGGGAGGCACGAGACTGGGGGAAAAGACCCTGCAATGGGCTGATGTATAAACTGAGGGCCTGGGATTA